AGGGCGCCCTGCCTCGTTGCCGGGCCTGTTCTCGCTCATGGCCTGCACGTGCGACTCCGCCAGGGAGGTGGCGGTTGTCGCGGCCAGGGCATCGGCACTGAGCCTGAGCAGGAAGCCAATCTCGTGTCTGACTGGGTTGAAGCCACTCGCCGGGGCGAGGGGCGAGACGCGCCGCTCCCAGGCCTCTTTGTGTTTCTCGCCGTTGGTGAGGTGGGAGACGACTCGCGCGGCGGCCAGCCGCTTGCCTTCCCAGGGCTGGTTGCGCGGGGAGCAATCCCTCGGGATGTCGTCGCCGTACGCCGCCCTGAGAAAAATCGTCAACCGACCGCCTGGCCACGAGGCCTCTTGGTTTTTAGGCTCTGGGATGTTATCATCGCAATGGCCGTGGCAGAACTGCCGCCAAAGGTAATCCAGTCCAGGGTGGAAGTCCCGGAGGTAGGTCACGAGGAGCTGCTGAACGACCACGTTCCCGCTGCCAGACCTACTCCTGGGGTCGTCTGACCTGAGCGTGGGGTTGGTGACCTCCCTGCAGTCCAGGAGCGGCCCCTGGGGGACTGGCAGCTCCGGCAGGAGCTCCATGAGCTGCGGGGGAGTCCCGGGGGCCTGCTCGGCCACGGGGGCGGCTGTTCCCGAGGCGCTGGACCCAGGGAGGTTTGCCGCTCCTGTCTTGGTGAAGCGATCTGCGGCCTTGGCGTCAGCGCCCATCCAGGAAGGGCGCGGAGTATGTCCACTGGGGCCTCCGCTGCGATCTGGCTTGGGATGCACAAAAACGTACTAGTACTATATGTCCTCCTTGGAGGCGCGCGTCCGACCCGAACATATCGTATACCCATCTTGTAGTATATCGTTTCCAGAGCGGGGTGGCCAGAAAGCGCCCGCCACGACGCATATACTATAAGATTTCTCGGTGCGCGCGTCGCCCCTTGGGGGGCGACGCACATATAGTATAAGTATGTTGGGGTGTTGCCGATGGCTATTGAGCGTTGGCAGGACAGGGGCCTCGGCTGGGCAGTGCCCTGCAGTCTCTCCCAATGATGTGGTCCAGAGTTGCGGGCCCGATGTCCCAGATGGGGACCAGGCACCGCCGGCAGCGCCACGCGGCATTCCAGTCGCGCTCCCACCAGGCTATGGCTCGCCGCTCAATGGGAGGCAGCCCTGTTTGCTCGGGCACACCCACTCCTTCCTTTGGCTTCCATATGAAGCATCCCAGGGGAGGTGCTCCAGCTTTCCAGACTAGGAGCGGTGCCCCTGGGGAGCATGTGTCGCACCGAGCAGAGTAGACCTTGTTCTCCGCAGCTTTGAGGCCGAATCGCTCATCCCTGACCCGTAGGATGGGAATAGTGGTGTTGGCGCGCTTTGGGTTGTGCATGCCCGCCGGCGTCATGATGAGATCCGCCAGTGTCCTCGTGTCCGATGTGGGGCTGCATCCAAAGCCAAGCGGGAGATGACCCAGGGAGGGGAGGGCACTCGCCTTCTTGTCACTTGCGCCACCGGTCCTCCATTGTTCGTACTCCTTGACCTATCCGCGACTGTTGCACCGGTTGGTGCTGGGATGCCCTTGTCCTCCAGGTGTCGAATCCAGCAAATCTCGCAGTGCCATCCCATGTTTGCACCGTCGAGGTAGGCCTGGGGCCGGTTCCGCGCTACCACCAGGCGAGTATCGTCCGAGATCCATGTACCGTCTGTGGAGCGTAGCTGATGCTTGCCGCATCTGTCGCACTTGAACCTGCCATGCTTCTGCTCAGCCAACAGCTTGTCGTCGAGGATGCGCGGGGGGTCCTGCTTGGTACCTGGGGCGGGGGCGGACGGCATGGGGGCGTTCAGATCGGCGTTGGAAAGCGCGAATCCGCCGCCGATGCAGGCGAGCCCAGCACCCCGGTCGTCGTCACCCAGGGAGGCGTCTGAGCCCGCGAGCGCGATGTGAAGCGCGCGCACGGAGCAGTGGTGCGTACCCAGGGGGGTCAGCGAGGCGGCTGTGGCGATCTTCTCGAGGACGAGCGTCGGGGCCTTCAGCTGGAAGTCGTGCCTGTCCAACTCAAGTCTGCGGGCAGCCAGCTGCCTGTGCGACGGGGTGGTGGTGTGCCACCGCTACGAGCTTGGAGATGTGTGGCAGGATTGCCTCGATGCGCCCATGGATATCGGCCAGGTCCTCAAGCGTGAGGCCCCAGGTGCTCGCGAAGTCCTGCCAGAACCCTCGATGCGCTTCCTGCCACGGGACACAGAAACCCAGGATGGCTTCAATCACGTCCCCCGCCTGTTCGGCGCGCGGGAACGGCCACGAGAACACGACCGGCTCGCGGAGCATTAACATCACGACCACCAGGAGCGAGCGGGTCTTGCAAGACTCCATGGGGAGGCCGTCTGTGTCCTTGATCTCCTCCCGGAGTCGGCCCCTGGTTGGATCGACGGAAGCGCTACCTAAGATCTCCTGCAGGCCAACCATCCCAGGGTGCTTCCTGTGCCTGCAGCAATCCTTGGTTGTTGCACTCCACGCCTGGGGAACCTGTCGGAAAAGTCCATTGGGAATGCGCTGTCGCCGCCCGCAGAGCGTTGCACGTCGGCCCCTGACGTGCGGCACCAGGGGGAGGGAGTCGTTGCACACTGCGTGGCCTGCGTCCTCACAGGGAGTGCCAAGGCCGAGTGACCGCACTATGGCTGCCAAGAGCATGTTGTAGACCAGATTGGTCGCGTCTAAACCCAGGGACATGTCGAACAGGAAGCCCAGGTGCGGCAACGCCTTCCGGTCGAGTCTGCCAGGCTGCCGCGGTGTCTCGGACAGCGAGAATTCATGCGGGTGGAGCCCCGCCACCAGGTAGATGAGCACATGGAAGGCAGGCGTCGAGAGGATCTCGTTTAGGCCGTCAGAGATGAACTTGCCCAGGGAGTCCCAGTCGAAGTCATCGGCCAGTGGGGCGTTGAAGCGATCGGCAAGGCCGTTCGCCTGAGCGTCACGGGCTGTTCTCTTGGCCGCATCGAGCTCCTTGCGCCCATCCTCTCCCTTCGCGTCGCAACTCCAGGTAACGGGGGAAGGTGCCCAGGTGGCGAAGTCGGGCAGTGGGTCAAACCTATCGTCTATGACCAGGGATTGCCTGTGGCCGGCGGGTCCGTCGCCCCCGAACCTGACCCAAACGCGGGTCAAGCGCCCGTATTCGGAAAGCACACGTAGCTGGGACCGAATGGCGTTGGCGAACATGCGCCCGTCTCCCAACATCATGATGTTCCGCTTGGTCCTCGTGATCGCCACGTTCAGCCGCTTGGCGTCATCGACAAAGCCCCAGTTGTGCATCCCGTTGCTCCTGGTGGTCAGCACAGTCACGATGTCTGCCTCCCCGCCCTGGCTGGAGTCGATGGTAGTGAGCTTGAGGGCCCCACTTTTCATGTGCTTGCCTGCAATCTGTCTGAGACCAGGGAAGGCTGTGCCGATAGCTGTGTGGGCGTTACGACCCTCCCGAAAGACGGTTTCCCAGCGGTGAGTGTCGACCTCATGCTCTCGGGAGTCTGTTCCAGGGCCGGGGGTATCTCGCCCGCTATGACCGCCACTGCCTTTTCCCTTGCCGGATTTTCCTTTATTGCCACTCTTCGAGTTTCGCAGGGCACCGCTGAGGTGGCGCGGGCCTTGTGGCCAGCCGTCCATGAGGATGGCCGTTTGGAACTGGCAGCCAGCGACGATTCGGACGGTGGTGCCTCTTTCAAGCTCGGGGAGGAGTGCCCGCGCGATGTCCACAGCCTGCGCTGCCTCGGGAAGGTTGGCGCAGCCTGGCTGGAGGCCGGACGTAACCTCCCACGAGGGTGTGTCGACTAGTAGGAAGCGGTGCTTGTCGCCGTTCTGCGGAGGATCCAACTGCCCAAGGGTCGCGCTGAGGTCGGCCTCGTTGGAACTGGTGAGCTTGGCGAGTTCCGTCAGGCGCCTAGGTTCCCAGGGTGAGATGTCTCTCCATGGGGTGCCTTCAACTATGGGCCTGTCTCTGGGCGGGTTCATGATGCCGCTCGTCGTACCCTTGCCGTAGTAGGCTGCGTTCGGAAAGGCGAGGAGCTGCGGATGCATGCGGTCGCAAATCGACAGGTGGACCACCACCGTGTCCTGGCCGCGGAGGGCGTGAAACATCCGGTCAAATATGCTGACACAAAGACCCAGGTCGTTGGCAAGCTTTGAGAGAACCGTAGGGGGCAACTGGTTCGGGTCGCCCACCAGTACCAGGGCTCCGCCGCTGTTGATCACGTTCACCATAGACATGAGCGCATGTAGCTCCGTGGCCTGTCCGGCCTCGTCGATTACCAGGAGGACAATGTGCGGGCTGTCCTTCTGTCCGAAGGCTTCGGCTGCCTCATAAGTGGACATGTTCACCCTGGCCTCCTGGAGCAGGTTGGCCTTGAAGGGCTTGAAGCCAGAGCTCTTGTCCCCATCCTGAAACCGGAATTCTCCGTAGGCGTTCTTGTAGTGGCCCTCTGGGGTCAGGCCCACGAGCTCCTCGTTGACGCGCTCCTTCCTTGCCTGGCGCACGCTGGTGGGGATATTTCTTTTACAGCCGCAGGCGGAAGCGCCGGCGGCGGCGGGTCACGGTCGGGCTGCGGCCGTGACGAATTCGCCGGGCGCGCGCGGGGGCCGCGGATCAGGCGGCGGTGCAAGCTGCAGCCCAGGGAGTCTGGAGGGAAACAGCCACCCAGGAAGCAAGGAGGACGCTGCCAAAATGGCGCGTCGCACACCCCCAGTCAAGGATCGTGTCGGCCCGATGATCACAGGGCAGTGGGGTTCTGACTCCGTGCAAAAAGTGCGTCAGTAGCCCAGGGTGTCTGTCGGGTATGAGCGAGACCGTAGGCAAGAGAGCTGACGTCGTCCAGCAGGGAGAAGGGACTCTGACAGCGCCAGCGAACCGTCGCAGCTTCAGAGTACGCATCCACGCGGCTGAAAAGGCACGCCTGAAGCCATTGACAACCGGAGTCAAACCTCAAACCAACTGCGGAAGAATGCGTTCGCACGCGAAAGATCAACGACATGATGTGACGCAGTGCAAAGGTACACCTGCTCCCGACCTTGGCGAGAGACCCGACGGCACCCGAGGTGACAGGGCGTGCACCAGGAAACAACTAAGTGGCATAACAAAGAGCGGCTCTCCAGGAGACTCTGAAAGACCAGAAAGGAAATAGCGCGCTGAGAAAGCTGTGCTGCCGCATACCCACTGCAGCACAAGCGAACCGTAGTCACGAAGACGCCCAAGAAGTTTCCGTGCAAGGAGTGCGTCAGTAGCCCAGGGTGTCTGTCGGGTATGAGCGAGACCGTAGGCAAGAGAGCTGACGTCGTCCAGCACCGCGCAAGAAGAGCGTCAGAGAGCCCAGGGCGTCTGCCGGGTATGAGCGAGACCGTAGTGGGGATCTGTCTCCGTGCACGAGGGATGTCAGAGAGCCCAGGGATTCTGCCGGGTATGAGCGAGACCGTAGGCATGCGTTCGCACGCGAAAGATCCACGACATGATGTGACGCAGTGCGGAAGGTACACCTGTTCCCGACCTCGGCGCGAGACACGAGGGCCAACCGAAGATGACAGGGCGTGTACCAGGAAGCAACTAAGTGACATAACAAAGAGCAGCTCTCCAGGATACCCTGGCGGACCAGAAAGCGTGAAAAAAACAGCGCTCTGAGAAAGCTGCGTTGACGCATACCCGCTGCTGCAGAAGCATCCGTCCGTAGTCACGAGGAAGCCCAGGAGGTGTCCGCTCAACAAAGTTGAGCGTGGGAGCGAGGATGGGGCGACGTCAGTGTGCACGGATCCTTGCGGCGAGCGGTGCGCCACTAGCCACAGGTGCGGGCGCGGCCTGGGCCAGCCGCTGCCAAACTGTGGCAAGTCATGCGCGGGAGCACACCTGCGACCCAGAGTCCGAGTACGGCCGCAGCGACCTCCGGGGGGCACTCCAGCCAACGAAGCGGGGCGCACCACAACCACGGTGACCGCCTGAGCAACGTTGAGACCCACTGACGATAAGCCCAAGCCCAGGGTCGCTCCCAGGGAAGGCGGAAAAGCGCGGCTGAAGGCCGAAGTATCTTGGGGAAACCCAAGGAAGAGGCTGCCCGCTGGAGGGCCGGGCCACGGCCACACCAGGAGAAGCCATATTAAATTAGGGTGCGGTTCTGGACAGTGACGAAGCGAAGCCATCTTTGCGTCGGTCACAGAGCCGCGAGGCCGGGGGGCGAAGTCCGCCAGGGCCAGAGGTGAAAACAACTACAGCGGGGCCAGGGGCCAACTATGGCCTGCACGCAACACGCCCCAGCGCTGCCATGCAGACGGTATTGCTGGTAAACACACTTGGGTCCAAAAGCAGGAAGTGCGTGTGCCAGGGAGGGCGGCATAAGGCCGCCACACGAGTAACGTAACCCAGGGAGGCAGCAGAAGGCTGCACAGAGTGTGGAAAACGGACGATGCCCCTGAAACTTAGGTGACGACCTTCCACTGTTTCTGGTCCTTCCTGGGTGCGCGGCGATCAGCGTGGCCCTTCGCCGCCTGGCGCCCCCTGCCCGCGCCGCCACTTCCACCCAGGTACTGAAGCCGCAACTGCGCCCAGTCAACGCCGAGGTCCAGCGCGTCGCCCATGGCCCGCACGTCGCAGTTATGGCTGCGGAAGGAGGACAGGAAATTGACGCACGTTTTCTGGTCGTGCCGCCGCGGGTCGAGCGCGCCTTTGCTGCCAGGCATGGCGTGCTGCTGGGCGAACGCGTGCCGGGCGCCTGTGAACCTCGCCCCCAGGGTGACCTGAAGCCGCTCTATCGTCTCGCCAGGTGTCTCCCCGGGGGGGGTCCCACTGGATGCCGCTGATCTTAGCTTTATATAGCTGCTGTCCCGTGTCTGGGTCTAAAGGTTCTGGAGGCGGGGCGCCCACCCGCTGCCACGAGGCCGCGCCGGGGGAACGTTCCGGCCGCGCTGCCGTTGTTCATCGGCGCTCGAGCTCGCGCCATTGCCAGGGAGGGAGGGGCCAGGGCAAGTAGTGTCAGCCAGGGGAGTGTGGCGGTGGGTGGTGGCCTGTTCCTGTTCTTGCCAATGCTCCCATTCCTGCGCTGGCGCTACTTCCGCGCCCTCCCCGCGGGCGGCCGGCAGCTCCTGCCCGTCGGGCTCTCCCGGCTCCTGCTCCGCATGCTGCTCACGCTCGCTGCTCTGAGACTGTTCCGACAGGTTGGGCCCGCCGCCGGAATCGTCTACGGCTTCGCGGGGCGCGGCGGCTACTGGGGCACGGAAGCCTGGCGGGGACTTGCGGGTCGGCGCGGGCCGCACGGTTGGCCGCCAGGTAAAGGCCGAGTCGCCTCCAGCAGCTGGGGCTGAGAGGAACGCTGTACTGTGGTAAGCGGGGGCAGGCCCCCCCCGTTGGCGCTCGCCTTCAGACCCGCGCCCGCCCTCGTCCACGAGCGCGCCCCCGTCTGTCGCAGCGTGACTTCCGTCATGTGCGGGAGTGCTGCGGGTCGCACCTGGCCCAGGCACGTTGTCAGACACCGTTTCTTTCGCCAGGACGGGAGTCGCCTTCCTCAGCGTGGTCGGGCCTTCGGGAGGGAGTGGTTGCGGTTCGCTGTCCGTTCGGGCGGATTCGCTGACAGGGGAAAGAGGGCGAATGGGCGCGAAGGGACTTCTCTCGACAAGTTGGCGGACGGCCTCGATGTCCTGCCTCTGCAAGGCGCGTTCGTGGTTACCCAGCGAAGGGTCTTCGAGAGTACCAGGGACGGCGGCGGGCGGAGTCGCAGCGGGGCGTTGTTGGGTCTCGCCGCCAACCAGATGTATCGACAGCCCCAGGCTTTGCAAGTAATGGGCTCCGTATCGGCCGTCGGCCACGGGGATGGCCTCGGAGGCGCTGGCTGGAGGGTCGGTGCCGATCGCAAACACGCGCCCATCTGTGGCCCGCACGCACGCACGTTCCGGCGTGAACTCCTGACCCTCGATGTTGCGAGGAGGCTCGGGATATCCTCCACCATCCGCTCGGGGGGGCGCCGTGGAACTCTTCTCGGGAGGAGGCTGGTCTCCGACCGCGGGCGCGCCCTCAGCAGCAATCCCACCTGTCGCCACGGTACTGTTGCCAGGGGGGGAGCAATGGGCTATGAGGTGGTGGCCGACAGCCCCGGCGACTGGCAATGTGATAGCTTGAGTTCGCGCCGCAACAGCTTGAGCCACAACCGCTCGAGCCTCAACAACGAGACCGCCCCCGGGACGCTGATAGGAGTGAGGGGCTGTGGGAACGCCTGCTTGGTTGTCTCCTGGGCGGGAAGGCACCGGCGCGCTGTGGCTGGCGACCACCTGTTCGGTTTGTAGCTCTCCCGGGGGACTACTGCAGCTGAAAGCCGCACGTTCCGGCGTGAACTCCTGACTCTCTATGCTGCGAGGAGGCTCGAGATATCCCCCATCATCCGCTCGGGGAGGCACCGTGGACCTCCGTTCGGGAGCAGGCCGGTCTCCGAGCGCAGGCGCGCCCTCAGCGGCATTCCCGACTGTCGCCACGACACTGTTGCCAAGGGGGCGCGCAATTTCGGCCGCATCTTCCGCCTCAACAACGAGACCGCCCCCGGGACGCTGATGGGAGTGAGGGGTTGTAGGAGCCCCTGCTTGGTCGTTTCTTGGAGGGGAAGGCACCGGCGCGCTGTGGCTGACGACCACCTGTTCGGGCCGTAGCACTCCCAGGGGACTACTGCAGCTGAAGGCCGCACGTTCCAGCGTGAACTCCTGACCCTCGATGTTGCGACGAGGCTCGAGATGTCCACCACCATCCGCTCGGGGAGGAGTCGTGGACCTCTTGTCGGGAGGAAGCTGGTCTCCGACCGCGGGCGCCCCCTCAGCAGCACTCCCAACTGTCGCCACGATACTGTTGCCAGGGGGGGAGCACTGGGATATGAGGTGGTGGCCGACAGCCCCGGCGACTGGCAATGTGATAGCTTGAGCTCGTGCCGCAAGAGCTTGAGCCCCCACCGCTTGAGCATCAACAGATGCGCCTTGGAGTCTCGAGCAGAAGGCTCGTCCCGCCTGTGACTCCCGAGCTGAAGGCTCGTCTCTTTTGAAGCTGTGAGATGCGCCTTGGAGACTCGAGCTGAAGGCTCGTCTCTCCTGTGATTCCCGAGCTGAAGGCTCGTCCCATCTGCGACTGTCAGCTTGGGGGGCGGGTGAGGGACGGGAGTCCGCGGGATTAACGGGATGCCCAGGGAGCTGATTGGCAGCCGTGCCGCAGTCAGCGTCCACCTGCCCATTTAAAGACTCCCGGGCTACAGGCTCCTCCACTCTCGCTGCTTCGCACGGCGCCCCCCGGGCTGAAGGCCCGTCTTCTGCGTGTACAACCTGGTCGCGCCCGGGGGAGGCGGCGGGCGGAAGGCGGGAACCGTTTTGACGTAGGCTCAGGTCAGCTGGAGGGGTCGGTTGCGCGACTTGGACGGAGGCCTCCACGGTCAAGGGATCGACCCCCTCGCAGCTGAAAGCTGCTCCTCTCTGTCTTGACGCGTCCAAGGGAGGGTGGTCGGCGGAGTGTGGGCGTGAGCCAATGGGATGTGGATCGGGGGCGTGGGCGGACTGCGCTCGGTCCACCCACCCGTCGTCACCGCTGCCACCCCACTGGGCAGCCTCGCGCACAGGCCATCCACCCTCGTTGGACAGGCTCCTGGGCCGATCTTCGAGAATGCCGCCGTCACTCATGACCGCAGTCTCTGCGGCGCTCTCGGCGCCCATGGGCATTGTCTCTGGTTCTCGAGCTGCAGGCTCGCCCCTGCTGAAGCTGTGAGATACGATACGCCTTGGAGACTCGAGCTGAAGGCTCGTCCCGCCTGTGACTCCCGAGCTGAAGGCTCGTCCCGTCTGCGACTGTCAAGAATTTCCTCTTCCACCCCCCCCTATCGTCGTCGTGGTCGTGCTCGCGCTCGCGGTCGCGGTCGTGGTCGTCGTCGTCGAGGCGACGGCGCCCGTGGAGGTCGTCGTCGGCGGCGTCGGCGTCGTGGTGGTCAGGCTCGTCTCTTCTGAAGCTGTGAGATACGCCTTGGAGACTCGAGCTGAAGGCTCGTCCCTCCTGCGATTCCCGTGCTGAGGGCTCGTCCCGTCTGTGACTGTCAGCTTGGGGGGCGGTAGAGGGTCGGAAGTCCGCGGGATTAAAGGGATGCCCAGGGAGCTGATTGGCAGCCGTGCCGCCGTCAACGTCCATCTGCCCATTTATAGACTCCCAGGCTACAGGCCCCTCCACTCTCGCTGCTTCGCACGGCGCTCCCCGGGCTGAAGCCCGTCTTCTGCGTGTGCAACCTGGTCGCGCCCGGGGGAGGCGGCGGGCGGAAGGCGGGGGCCGTTTTGACGTAGGCTCAGGTCAGCTGGAGGGGTCGGCTGCGCGACCTGGACGGAGGCCTCCACGGTCAAGGGATCAACCCCCTCGCAGCTGAAGGCTGCCCCTCTCTGTCTTGACGCGTCCAAGGGAGGGTGGTCGGCGGAGAGCGGGCGTGAGCCAATCGGATGTGGATCGGGGACGTGGGCGGACTGCGCTCGGTCCACCCACCCGTCGTCACCGACGCCGCCCCGCTGGGCAGCCTCGCGCACAGGCCATCCGCCCTCGTTGGACAGGCTCCTGGGCCGATCTTCGAGAATGCCGCCGTCACTCATGACCACAGTCTCTGCGGCGCTCTCGGCGTCCATGGGCGTCGTCTCTGGTTCTCGAGCTGAAGGCTCGTCCCTTCTGAAGCTGTGAGATACGCCTTGGAGACTCGAGCTGAAGGCTCGTCCCGCCTGTGACCCCCGAGCTGAAGGCTCGCCCCGTCTGCGACTGTCAAGAATTTCCTCTTCCAACCCCCCATCGCCGTCGTGATCGTGCTCGTGCTCGCGGTCGTGGTCGTGGTCGTCGTCGTCGTCGTCGAGGCGACGCCGTCCGTGGAGGGCGTCGTCGGCGGCGTCGGCGTCGTGGTGGTCAGGCTCGTCTCTTCTGAAGCTGTGGGATGCGCCTTGGAGACTCGAGCTGAATTCATAAGGCTCGTCCCTCCTGTGATTCCCGAGCTGAGGGCTCGCCCCGTCTGCGACTGCCAGCTTGGGGGCGGGTGAGGGTCGGGAGTCCGCGGGATTAACGGGATGCCCAGGGAGCTGATTGGCAGCCGTGCCGCCGTCAACGTCCATCTGCCCATTTAAAGACTCCAGGGCTACAGGCTCCTCCACTCTCGCTGCTTCGCACGGCGCTCCCCGGGCTGGAGGCCCGTCTTCTGCGCGTGCAACCTGGTCGCGCCCGGGGGAGGCGGCGGGCGGAAGGCGGGGGCCGTTTTGACGCAGGCTCAGGTCAGCTGGAGGGGTCGGTCGCGCGACCTGGACGGAGGCCACCACGGTCAAGGGATCGACCTCCTCGCAGCTGAAGGCTGCTCCTCTGTCTTGACGCGTCCAAGGGAGGGTGGTCGGCGGAGTGTGGGCGTGAGCCCGTGGGATGTGGATCGGGAGCGTGGGCGGACTGCGCTCGGTCCACCCACCCATCGTCACCGCTGCCACCCCACTGGGTAGCGTCACGCACAGGCTATCCACCCTCGTTGGACAGGCTCCTGGACCGATCTTCGAATGCCGCCGTCACTCATGACCACAGTCTCTGCGGCGCTCTCGGCGTCCATGGGCATCGTCTCTGGTTCTCGAGCTGCAGGCTCGTCCCTTCTGAAGCTGTGAGATACGCCTTGGAGACTCGAGCTGAAGGCTCGTCCCGCCTGTGACTCCCGAGCTGAAGGCTCGTCCTGTCTGCGACTGTCAAGAATTTCTTCTTCCAACCCCCTATCGTCGTCGTGGTCGCGGTCGTGCTCGCGGTCGTGGTCGTGGTCATCGTCGTCGACGTCGAGGCGACGGCGACCGTGGAGGGCGTCGTCGGCGGCGTCGGCGTCGTGGTGGTCAGGCTCGTCTCTTCTGAAGCTGCGAGATACGCCTTGGGGACTCGAGTTGAAGGCTCGTCCCTCCTGTGATTCCCGTGCTGAGGGCTCGCCCCGTCTGTGACTGTCAGCTTGGGGGGCGGGGGAGGGTCGGGAGTCCGCGGGATTAAAGGGATGCCCAGGGAGCTGATTGGCAGCCGTGCCGCCGTCAACGTCCCTCTGTCCATTTAAAGAATCCCGGGCTACAGGCTTGTCCACTCCTGCTGTCTCGCACGGCGCTCCCCGGGCTGAAGGCCCGTCTGCGTCGGGAGGAGGCTGGTCTCCGACCGCGGGCGCGCCCTCAGCAGCCCTCCCACCTGTCGCCGCGATACTGTTGCCAGGGGGGGAGCAATGGGATATGAGGTGGTGGCCGACAGCCCCGGCGACTGGCAATGTGATAGCTTGAGCTCGTGCCACACGCTGATAGGAAAAAGGAGCTGTAGGAACGCCTGTCTGCACAGAAGTGGGATATTCCGCGGCTTCCAGAGGGGGGCTTCGCTGCTGCTGCAGCTGCGGGGTGCTGTTGCCGCTGCTGCTGCTGCTGCTGCTGCTACTGCCGCTGTTGCTGCTGTTGCTGCTGCTGCTGCTGTGCTGCTGCTGCTGCTGTTGCTGCTGCTGCTGCTGCTGCAGGTCCCGCTGCTGTGGCTGCTGCTGCTGCTGCTGTTGCTGCTGCTGCGGCTGCGGCTGCAGGTGCAGCTGCTGCGGCTGCTGTTGCTGCTGCTGCTGTCGCTGCTGGCGCTGCTGCTGCTCCTGCAGGTGCAGCTGCAGCGGCTGCTGCTGCTGCGGCGCGGCCGCCGCGGCCGCCGCCGCGGCGCCAGCGGCTGCGGCGGCCGCGGCGGCGCCAGCCGCGGCGGGCCCAAGCGCGGCCGCGCGGGCCACGGCGGCCGCGGCGCCGGCCGCGCAGCCTGCGGCCGCAGCGGCGGCCGCCTCCGCCACGGCAGCGGCGGCGGCGGCGCGGCCGCCGCCGCGGCGCTGGCGGCCGCAGGGGCGGCGGCGGCGGCGCCGGCCGCCGAGCCCGCGGCGCTGGCCCCAGCGGCGCCCGCGGCGCCGACGGCGCCCGCGGCGCACGCGCCCCGCCTGCGGCGGCGGCGCCAGCGGCGCGCCCGGCGCCCGCGGCGCCGGCGGCACCAGCGGCGCCGGCGGCGCCCGCGGCGCCCCCGGCGGCGACGGCGCCCGCGGCGCCGGCGGCGCCGGCAGCGCAGGCGGCGCCAGCGGCGCCCGCGGCGCCCGTGGCGACAGCGCAGGCGGCGGCAGCAGCGGGGCCAGCGGCCAGGGCGGCCGCCGCAGAGGCCGCCTGGGCCGCGGCCGCGCAAGCGGCAACGGCGTCAGCGGCGGCGCGCGCGCCCGCGGCCGCGGCGGCGGCCGCGGCGGCGGCGCCGTCGCCGGCGGCCGCGGGGGCGGCAGCGCCGGCGGCGCCAGCCGCTGCAGCAGCCGCGGCGGCAGCCGCGGCAGCAGCCGCGTCGAGGCGGCGGCGGCCGCGGCGGCCGCGGCGGCCGCGCCAGCAGCTGCGGCGGCGCCCGCGGCGCCGCCAGCGCCAGGGCCTCCAGCCAGCGGAGGCCGAAGGCCGGGGGCCGGGGCGGCGCCGGCGAAGCGGGCAACGGCCGCACGCCGCTGCCGACGCCGGCGAGCCGCCAGCGAGGGCGCGGCGGCGGCGGCAGGGCCGCGGCCAGGCGCGCGGCCGGCCGCCAGGCCAGCGAGCGCCGCCATGGCGCAGAGGAGGGGCAGGTCAGGAGGAGGGCGCCCCCATCCCGACCTGCCCCGGGCAGCGCGCCCGGGGGGCGCAGGCGAGGCCGGCTCGGCTCGGCTCGAGCCAGAACGGCCTTGAGCCAGGGGGCTACGGACTGGTGGGGGTACGCGAAGCGTCAAGAATTTCGGCCTCTGGGGCCCTGACCCGGCATTCGGGACCGTCAAGAAACGGCTCGGGATGAGAGACCGGTCCCGGGGAAGGGGTCGAGACCTCTGGGGGTCGAGCTAATGACGAAATACAAACGTCGGGGGTCTGGGGACGGCGGCGAGACACCACCACCGTCGCTGGCCAGGGCCGTCATGGGCCCTGGGGTAATGCACACACAGCCTCCTGGCCTCGACCAGGAGCGTCTTTAGACCATCCTGGGGCCCAGGATGGCCCTGGCCAGGGATGGTGGTGGCGTATTGCTGCCATCCGTGGAACCTGGGTCACCAAACTGCGCACTTCGCCTGTTCCCGGTAAGTGAACTGTTTGGGGTCCTCTGCCACCAGGGTGTATTAACAAAAAGCGATCAGCGGGCGTGCCAGATTCGCATCCCAGAGACAAGGTTCGCATCCCGCCCCCCCGCATACTACAGCACATCTCTCACACAAATCGTGCCGTGCAGGGAGCTCCACCGACGGCCCGGAGACGGGTTCGCATAGCGCCGCCCCCCCGCCCAATGCGGCACACCCCTCGCACCACCCACAGCCCCAGAGACAAGATTAGCATATCGTCCCCGCGCCCATTTCGGTACACCTCTCACGCGGATCGTGCACCGGAAGGAGCTGCATCTGTGGCACCAAAGGGCAATTTCGCATGGCGTCCCCGACCATGTCGGCACATGTCTCTCACGGGTCGTGCCCTACAGCGAATTCCACCTGCGGCCTCAGTGGGCGTGTTCGCGCGGGCACCCGGATTATTGATGATTCGGCACCCCCTCCACGCGGGTCGTCCCCCACACGGAGTCCAACACGCCTGCGCACGCTTGCTCCGCCCTCTGTCCGCACCGTCCCGCGGCGCGCTGTATACGACGAGAGAGCCGCGCCATGCGCTGCACGTGGCTGCACAGGGTTGGGCCCTTCGCCAGGCAAGGTATTTCTGTTGATGAGCGATGCCCCTTTGGCCAAGAGAGATCGGATATCCTGGCGAAGATCTGATATTTGCGAGGAGAGTATTCCAACAGCATGCTGACTCTGTAATCGCCAGACCTGCTGGATCAAGCTGGAAAACTCGCCGTCGTCCTCCCCAAGACTTGCACGCAACGCCTGCGCGCGAACCTTCCGACGAACCTTCCGAATTAGTTTGACCCTAACAGCTCCATGTTCATCCAAGCGTTTGCCTTTGCCTTGGTTTCCAGAAAGTCTGGACATGGCCTCTCTTAGGGGCAAGGCACTTCCAGGCCCAAGAGTCAACGCAAGCTCAGCCTGATTCCTCTTCACCATCAACCCTGATGCTAACAATTGCCTCAACGTGTTCATGCTCGTGTGCGAATCCGTGCAGTCCAGCATATGGCAGGGGCGAGCGGCTGCAGGGTAATGTCGCAAATGCCAGCTGCCAACTGAGTCCTTTCGCAGAAGACCAAGGATACTGTCCAAACCGTGGCGGTTTACTTGGCAAATTCTCAAGTGCACCGAAGCCGAATGATTAGGTATTTTCACATACCCTTCTGCGTCAAAAAAACCTGCAAAGTATTCCCAGGAGCAAGGCTCAGAATTCGGCGGTATGTAGTGGGCACTCTTCATTGCCTTCAGCTGGCGTGCGAGCAGAGCGCGCAAGTCGGAACACTTTGGCCAAGCTGCTGCAATCTGGAGCTGCCCCTGCTTTAAGCGAGAATACTGCGAAAGCTGCTTGGCCGCCCACTTGCCAGATTCACCGGTCGCTCTCCATTGAAGCGCTGGTCGCCTCCTGCCAAGTCCAGGGCTATTGTAATAAATTCCGCCACCAAGAACACTGCGGAAAAGAATCAAAACACATCCTTGCGTAATCGACTGGGAGACAGAAAGGCTACAACTCCCCGCATTGCTACGAACATTTACACAACCATCCCCGTCAAAGAAACCGGATAGATACGCCAAATGATTAGACAACATCGCATCTGACTGGGATTGTGTGCCTCCGTGTACCGACGGCACAGGTAGCGTGTGCAATACCCCATCGACCTCAAAGTGTAGAGCCCGAGGCCACCGAAGCCGCCTCAGTACGCCGTTCAATCTGTCATGGCGGCGTTGCAGACGCAACGCCACTACGTCGAAACACTGCTGATCGCTGCTGCATGCCAAGGCAGCATGGCCGCCTGCGGTGGGGCATGCAGGAAGGCATCCTGCCAGCACTCTGCGCAACAACATCCACGTATTGAGACAAATGGTTTGAAACAGCCGGGAACAAACAAACTGAACCAGCGCGACTCATCGCGCCCAGCCAGCTTCGGCCGAAAAGGCGTGAGCCTAAATGGCTTGAGCTAAAATGGGTTGAGCCAACATGGCTACGCTTCGCCAGGCAAATCGTTTGCTCATCTACTGGCCTTCGGTCCATCCCGCCACCGTCTGGGTTGTGGGTCAAAGGCTGATTGGATACCTGCTGAGTTCTCTCGGCATGCTTCTCGGGCGCCTCTGGGAGCCAAAGCCTCTTGGGGCCTCTTGGGGGCCATTTAGAAGCTTCTTGGGGCCTCTTTTGGGACTCTTGGAAGCCTCTTGAGCAGCTGCTGACGGTCTCGGGGGTCCACGTCGGGCGGAGGGCTCGAAACATCAGTTGGAGTTCCCTCTCTTGGGCCCGCCTCTTGGGCCGTCGTGGGCACCTCTTGGGCCGTATTGGGGCCTTCTCGGGTGAGTCTGACGACGTAGTGGGGCCCTCTCGGGGGCCTCTTGCGCCGTCTTGGCAAGATCTTTGGGGCCTCTTGGGCCGTCTTCGACGACGTCAAGGCCGAAAAATCGAAAATGCCGAACATGTATGCTGTCTTATAGGAATGGCGCGAGTTGGGTATCCTGGCGCCCTCTTGTATCCTTCTTGAACCGATTTCAGGGCCTCTTGCACCGTCTTGAGGATGTTCGAGCCGCCCTTGGGCCCGTTGGTCCGCTCTTGTCGCATATTCGCGCCCTTGAACAGCTGGTTCAGGCGGCTGGGGGAAGGCACGGTCGTCTCCTGAGTGGGAGGGGGGGGCAACAGGGGAGAAGAGGGGGGGGTATTCGGTCGGGAGGGTGTCCCGGCCCTGGGCTCAGGCCTCTGGTGCTCTGGCATATGATATAATTGTTCCCTGTCTTCTGTCGGAGGGAGGGGCATCCAAATCCAACACCGCCCGAGGTTCTCGGGCTACACGCCCCCGGATCGGTGGATACAGTAGAATCTGACGTGGACCTACCCAACTCGTGGGCTGCCTTCCTACCTTGGGGATGTTCACTGTCACTGTTGGACATTCGTGCTTTGACTGCACCTAGTGTTACATTTCCAGCGGGACAGACCAGGGGCGTAGATCGCCCGGGGCGTGGGGGCGAGGATCGATGAACAAGCGGCCCTCACACCTCAGGGGGCAGACCCTGACACTGACACTGCTGACAAGGAGGCACTGCACGCCCACTATGATCCCGTGGCGTCACTGCGGGAAGTGGCCCGCTCTGCGCGACTGCCCCCCGCGCGAAATCCCACCAGCCCTCTGGGCGTAGGTGGTTTAGGGAGTTTCCTCTTCCATTTTCCCTTCTTCCCCTTCGGGGAGGGGTTTACCCCTCCCCCTCCCCCTAACCCCCTCCCCTGGACCTGGACGGGCCCGGTCGCGAGCGGTCAAAGTGTCCAAGATGGCCCAGGATGGCTCCATGAGCGCCTCGGATAGTCCAAGATGACTTCCAAGATGGCTCAAGATAGCCTAAGATGCCGCAAGATGGCTCCGAAGATGCTCCAAGACGCTCTCAGAACGCTCCAAGACAGCTCCAAGAGGCCAATTATTTCCCCAAGGAGGCCCCCCAAGAAGCCAACATCCTTCAAAAACCGAAGGGAAACCAATGATTTTCGGCTTTTCGCCTTTTCGCGTCCGATGGCCATCTGAGGCGTCAACATGGCTCCAAGACGGGCCAAGGAGGCCCCAAGAGGGGCCCAAGAGGGCCCCAAGACGGCCCCAAGAGCGCCCCAAGAGGGGTCCAGGCGGCTGTTTTGGGAGCTCCCGAGGGGCAGGGTTAATTAGGGGCCCCCCCTTCTTTGATCGATCGTTTCCAAGATGGCCCCAAAGGGCGCCCAGGAGGCCTCCAAAGGCGCCAAGATGGCCCCAAGAGGCCTCCAAGAGGCCCCCAAGCGGCCCCAAGAGGCTCCAAGAGGCTCCCAGGATGGTTCCTAGAGGCCTTCAAAAGGCTCCAAGAGGCCGCCATGAAGCTCCAAGAGACCCCCAAGAGGCCTCCAACAGGCCCCCAATAGCCCCCCAGGAGGATCCCAAGCGGCCTCAAGAGGCCCCCCCGAAGCACCCAAGCCGCCCAAGAGCCCCCATTGACCGCCAAGAGACCCCCAAGACGCCCGAAGAGGCTTCCAAAAGGCTTCCAAGAGGCATCCGAGCGGCATTCAACCATCCACCCAGCGTCATCATTCTCCTCATCCCTCCTTCGCTCGGTTCCTCGCCACCCCCTCATCCATCCATCTGGCCTCCTCTTCCGCCTCATCCTTTGCACGGATCGGCTGTCCCTCTTGTTGCTCCCCCACTTCCCTGATCTCTTCAACTTGCCTGGACATCGTTTCTGGATGGGCTGGTGGGGATACTTTTTTTTGATTCGCGGCCCGCAAGGAGAAGTCAAGTGGGCGGAGTGACCGAGGCTGGGGCACAGCGACAAATAATTGGCGCGACATCGCGCAGAATGCACCTGCAGATAATTAACGACGCTGGACATGCGCCAGCAAAAGAGGCAACCGCGAAGGCACCAGCTGAAGCCCAGGGGCCACCACGCGGACCCCAAAAGCCGCTGAGCGTGTGCCAGCAGAAGGGGGGCGGGCGGAAACAAGTCGGACCCGCGGGCGGAGTACCGACTGCCAGGCGGAAAGTGCCAAAACCACTCACTTGCCTCCTAGGGCGTGGGCCAGTGTGTAAGCCACCCAGGGGGTTCGGGCCAGCGCCTGAAGGGCGCCAGCCAACCGCAGGAGAGGGCGCCCGCGACGGCCGCAGGTGCCAAGGCGGCGTGGAGCCTCCGCTCCCAGAAGGCCCAACTGTGGCAGGAGCCAGCGTCTAGCACAAGCGTCAGGGCGGTGCCTTTGGCCGACGACCGTGTCCGCCGCGGGCCGGCAAGCGGCCAACCTATGAGTCCAAAACTGCCGACCGCACTGTCTACACGCCCATGCGTCAGGGGGGTCAGAGGTGATCGCCGCTCCTGCGGGCGACGACGTGGAAGTCACTGCGCGTTGCCGACCCCAAAGGATGGAGCGCCTGGAGGGGCTGAGGCCAGCGTCCGATGCGTCCCGGCCCGCACACGGCGCGGGCAAAGTGACTGAGTGGAGCGCGCCGAGAGCGGGAGAAAGCGCCTTGAGCGAGCCATCTCGGAGCACCACGGGCCGCCGCTGCGGCCAAACCGACGACGGGGCTAGTTCAGCCGGCCGTGCGGGCTAAAAGCCCACGGGAGCGCAGGAACAATCGCGGCGGTGGGGGGGCACCTCAACCCCAGGAGGTAACACCAGTCCGCCCCCGTGGCCCACTGCATCGGTGAAACATGTCCTGTCGCTGGCTGCGTCGACAGGTGTGGCCGCATGGTGGGAACCCAGTGGCCCTGGGGCCCACCGCAACTCATCTTCCCAGTGAGCTGGGGCCCAGCGGAAGTCGCTCCCCTGTGGCGACGAGGAAGGGGGGGTAGCAGCCGATAGCCGCAGTCTTGAGTGTAGAAGCAGTGGCGACAAGGAAGGGGGTCAGCAGCCGATAGCCGCAGGACAACAGATAGCACGTGGCGACGAGGGAAGAGGAGTGCAGCCGATAGCCGCGGAACTGGAAAGTGAAGCGAGAGGCTGGGGCGAGCGGCCTGAGCCGCGAGACATCGTCTGAGGTGGGACCGACCTAGGGGAGGACAGTCCCACGGTACACGTGCGCGGCAAGTCTTCCGCGAAGGGGGTCACTCGTTGTTCCGGAAGCCCAACGCCGTGCGCCTTGTCGGCTTTTGGCAGGGCCGGCCTCGCCCTAGTCGGGGGGCCTCTGCCAGGCCAGCTGCCGGGCTACCAGCGCGCGAGTTCCCTTCCTCGCTGCCGCTTGTCGGCGCATTGCTCGTCACTTTTCGGGGCGGCCCTTTTCTCCCTGCCCCCCCACGTCGCCCCCCTCCATGAACTATCCTGGTGGTCCCACCCTTCCCAGCGCGGCCTTGGGCGCCATGGGGCTCCAGAGCTGGATGCTCCCGACCAGGCGGTCTCCCTGTAGTCGGTGCACGCTGGCGGGGCGGCTGTGCCGGCTCTGGGCCTGCTCCGCGGGTGCTGCTGCAAAGCCCCGCTGTGTGTGCTAGAGGACTGGGTCTGTTCGTGGTGGCTTGCCCTGTCGGGTGGGGCGGGGTGGGTGGGTGCTGTCCTGCTGCTGTCGGACCAAGGGCATGGGTGGCCCCTGCTGTCTTGCCCCTTGGGTGCGCTGGCCCTTGCGCCGCGATGTAGTAGGCTGCGATATTTCTCGGTGACCTTTTGCCATTCCACCCGGAGATGGCGGCGCCTCGCCAACTTATAGGCATCGCGAGCCCGCAGCTTCCCACGCCCGCAGGAATTATTCGCACAGCTCCCTTGTGTTCCCCCTGGGGTCCGAATGGATATCGACCCGAGGCAGACCTTGCAGGCTGCCTGCCCTGCGGACCCAGCCTGTCCACGCCCCGTTGAATGCGCCTCCGTGTGTCTTTTGTAGTCTGGTGACTTTCTCTTGGGCTGGCTCATCCCTCTGGATGTCGGCCTCGTCGATGGACTTTCATGTGCATGGGGGGCCCTCCCAGGGGGTCGCCTTGATGTGGAGGTGGGAGTGGCTCTGCCTGTGGGCGCGGCCGCCTCTCTGGGCTGCTGTCCTGCCGGGGGCTGGGCGTCGGGCGGGTCTCGTGCGCTGGAGCTGCGAGTTCTGGGGTCGTCTCCTGACGGCAGTCTGGCTTGTCCCCTCTCCCTCTTAGTTTCCTTTTGTCACGGATTTCTTCCATGTCCTCTCGGAAGCGGGCCGTCGCGCATGGCGCCCAAGTGGCCGCTTCCTCCTTGTCGGGGGGGGACTGTCCACAGCACTGTCCGCGTGTGGGAGCCGTCTCTGTCGCTGGGGCCGCCGGTTTCGGTTTCCTCGGCCTGCTGCGGGGGGCTGTCGACCATGGAGACGGCCCTCTCTGGATTGTCCTCAGCCCAGTCTACGTCGAACGGATTGTCGCCGTTACCGTGGGAGCCCCTGTCAGGGATGGTTCCTCCTTTATCTCCTTGGTCGCTTACGTGGCTCCTGGGGGCTGCTGGCTGAGGTCATCGCCAGGGGTGCGGCCGTCCAAGGCTGGTGGGCGCTTGTGCCAGGCAGCGGCGGGGGAGCGGTCTCCGGCGTCGTTGCTGCCCCCGGCGCTGCGCTCGCCAGCGAGGAATTCCAGCGTTCCCCCTG